TGCGAAGGAAGATGCTATTGTGGGGAGAATAAATTTTGATTTGTATATGGTAGTGTTACGCACTGACTTGTATTGGGAGAAATTAATCTCCTATTTTAATTTTAATTTGGCTCGATGTAAACAGTGCCTAACAAAGGACGATACCATAGAATCAACAATTATTAAAGATACGACCCAAAACAGTTTCTAGTTACAATTAATTAAGATTTATTATGTCTTAAGATAATTACAAAATAAAATAAAATAAAATTACAATCTTCAACTTACAGTATGGCAGATGTCGTACCTGATGTAAACAGTGCCTAACAAAGGACGATACCATAGAATCAACAATTATTAAAGATACGACCCAAAACAGTTTCTAGTTACAATTAATTAAGATTTATTATGTCTAAAGATAATTACAAAATAAAATAAAATAAAATTACAATCTTCAACTTACAGTATGGCAGATGTCGTACCGGTACACACTTAATACAATTAGAAATAATGATGCCAATAAATAATGCGGAATAAACACATATAAGTAGGAGCACACAAATACACAAAGAATAAAACACGCCTCGTAATGTTAAGAAAATCTATGTGAAAAATCTCCGTCCCCTCGTGCCTGTCAATCTCTTATATATATGTAGAGTAAGATGCTTCGAGAAGGGCTTATGACGTGTTGTTTACATCTCTCGGGTTAAGGAGTATATTCCAGAAATTACCCGAAAACAATCTACCCAATGCGTAATTGGAAGCCGACTGTAAACAAGCCACTTCAAAGACCTAAGCCACACCCCTTTGTGAACACAGCGTCTCATGCGGGGTCAATCAGAGGGCACGCACGAGAAAAACAAGCTCTCTATAACAGTAGAAAAGGCCTTTTTGACCCCATTTTGAACTCACAGGCTTGTAATTTTCCTCACTCGTAAACACTAGTGACAATTTTAATAGATATTCTTTGATACTGTGTCAGATTGCTACGATTTACAAAATTATGGTTGTGCATTACCCACTAACTGCCTTTTTAAAATTTTCTGAAAACCGCACTTTTTTTTATGTTTGTCTCATAAAAATGCTTTAAAATAAAAACTTTTAGTTCGATTTTAAAACGGATTCTAACCATTATAATCAACGTCCAAACTTTTACAAACATAATAAAATCAGAATTATACTAGTCGGTCAGATTCGACTGAAACCGTCGCGGAGAGTCACATTATAGATATGGGGAAAACACGCGGGCCGCATAAATAATAAACTTTGCTGTCAAGTAGCGGGCCGCAAAATATCGTCTTGCTGGCCGCAAATGGCCCGCGGCCCGCGAGTTTGAGACCCCTGCTCTAGGACAAGCCACGTGAAGCCTATTGGACAATCCACATTAAGGCTGAAAAACAAAAGAAATAGAGAGAAAAAAATATAATCTCTTAACAGTTGTTGACAATGGCCTAAACTCTAAACTGTCTCATCGGTTTACAGATTATCTAATTATTTGGGCTAATATCCATTAATCAGGATCAGTTTGTATCCAGGATGGAAAATATAAACAATTTGCTGGGAGATCTTGGAGAAGCGCTGCTCAAAATAAACACAGCGACAGACCTACTGTAATGCCTTGCAGAAAGGTGTCATTGACATTAATATTAATAAAAGGCACACGTGAAGAAATAAATTTATAAATTAATAGAAAGAAAAATACTGATTCCTGTGGATGAGCCTTCTACTTTGACTGTGGTAATGAATGCTGTCCTGATGGTGAAATCAGAATTTGCCTACATCGTCGTCATTTGTTTTAAGTTCTGAAGCGAGGATATTTTAAATTGGCCATATTTGAAGAAGTGCTACCTGAGTTTTAAAATGCAAGAATATTCTCAAAACTGGATGTGAAAGAGTCATACTGGCATGTCAAATTAGTTAAAGAATCCACTAAACTAACGACCGTGATCATAGCTTTGAAGTCACACAATTTAAATGATCACTTCTTCTTCTTCTTCTTCTTCTTCTATATATCAGGGCCCACGTTCAATTTATTTATCATTCTGGCTCCTATGCATGTAGAGGGGATTTGCAATGTTTCTGTGCCTGGTGTTAAAGAGGATATTTCACTGGTTGCAAGGGCCACTCAGTGAGGGTATCATGACCTGGGGGTTGGAAGGCCTGAGGCAAATTTTAATGTTTCAAGTGTTTTCGCCTCAACTGTTCCTTTAAGAAGCTATTTCCAGTCCCTGATTGTCCTAGGCAGGAATGAGCAGTTCATGTACTGGGTTCTTGCTGGAATGTGACGGAACTGTCTGTCATGGCCTCGTCGCCGTCTATGGGGGAGAGGGACGAGTTTTTGTTCAATGCTAGAGCAGTGGACCAGCCCATTATTTATCTTGTACATCATGGAGAGCCTGGATATTGTCGTCGTTCCTCCAATGGTGAACAGCCCAGTGTTTCTAGCATGCTGCCAACACTAGAGGTATTCCTGTAGCGGTTCAGGACAAAGCGTGCTGCCTGTCCCTGGACCGCCTCCAACCTGTCAATGCTCTTCTGGGTAAATGGGTCCCAGACTGAAGATGCGTAATTTAAAAGCGGGCGGACAAAGGCTTTATATGCTCTTTCTTTCACACTGTAGTTGTCGATCTTTAGATTTTGTCTTAAGAACCCAAGTGTCTTGTTTGCCAGGTTGCCAGCGAACCTCTCTTTGAATGGCAACACCAAGGTACCTTACGGAGGAAATTGGCTCAAGTACATGGCCTTGCTGTTTGTAAAGGTGATGTAGAGGGTTACAACTTCTAGAGACTGACAGTGTTACGCACTGACTTGTGTTGGGAGAAATTAATCTCCTATTTTAATTTTAATTGGCTCGTTGTAATCAGTGCCTAGCAAAGGACGATACCACAGAATCAACAATATTAAAGATACGACCCAAAACAGTTTCTAGTTACAATTAATAAGATTTATTATGTCTAAAGATAATTACAAAAGAAAATAAAATAAAATTACAATCTTCAACTTACAGTATGGTGGATCTCGTACCGGTACACAGTTAATACAATTAGAAATAATGATGCCAATAAATAATGCGAAATAAACACATATAAGTAGGAGCACACAAATACACAAAGAATAAAACACGCCTCGTAATGTTAAGAGAATCTATACGGAAATCTCCGTCCCTCGTCCGTGCCTGTCAATCCCTTATATAGGTGGGTCTACCGACGCCCAAGCCCTGCCTTCGAGACATTTCGAGAAAAATCCCAATCATTCTACCAAATACTATTTGGAACAGATTAATTATTTTTATTCGTTGGCGGCGTAAACAAGTTACTTCAAAGGCCTAAGCCACACCCCTTTGTGAACACAGCGTCTCATGCGGGGTCAATCAGAGGGCACGCACGAGAAATAGTATGTAAACAAGCTCTCTATAACAGACAGCGTCTGGAACTTGGCAGGATGAAATTCCATGTCCCATCTCATCTCCCAATCAGCGAACCGATTGAGATCTTGTTGTAGGTGATCCTAATTAAGTTCCTTTTAGGGGCCGTCCATAAAGTACGTCACGCTCCAGAGGGGAGGAGGGGTGTTGAAAGTGTGACAGTTTGCGACAGGGGGGGGGGGTCAGGCCATGTGTGACGTCACACATTTATTTTTTAAAATTTCATTTCTAATTTATTTTTTATTTTTTTAAATAGAATTTAATAGCTTTAAAAATAATTTAAAAAAAAATTTGTGAAACATTCGAATTAGTTTTATGTCAAAATGGCATGAAATGCCTATCTCCTGAATGTGTTGTTCACGATTCCTCTCGCAAGGAGCGCTAGTATGCTGTTGCGAAGCCTTGTTTAATGTATAGCCTTGCTTTCATCTTTCCTGAAGTATTATTATTTCTATGTTGGCCGCTGCATAATTATGTCACTGTCCTTTTTAATATTTAATCACTGGTGGAGGTCAAGTTTCGCTAATCTACTTCTAATCCTGTGTAAAAAGATTGCATAAACGGAAGATTATCTAAAACTTAACCTCACCTATTGTAACTGAAAAAGCAGCAGATTAACGATGTGTATGATATAATTGTCTAGTCTAATTTGTGCAATTTTTGTTTTCAAATTCAATCTAGATTGAGATACTGCTTCAATGAATAACTGTGACAACTGTTGACAATTAACTATTCTACTATTAAAGTCATTTTGATAATGTGATAGTTCTTCTAAGTGGAAATTTTATATTTCAATACAGTTTAATAGTGAAGTGTGTTTTAGATTAAATTTTAATTAGATCTAGGTGTTAATTAAATTTTTTTTTTTTCGAAAGTGTGACGTACTTTAGTGTAGCTGTGGCCTATTAATAGTACAGACACAATGGGAATACTTTTTGCAAGGAACTTAATGGACGGCCCCTTATCATAAGGCTTATGACTAAGCGGGTTTACTAAATGACCCACCTTGCCCTCGCTCGAGTGACCTCTTTCTAGAATCTCAATTTCGACAAACTTCCTGACGTCCAAATTGAGCTGAAACTGTGTACACTTACCCACCCCCAGAGTACAGTACAGTAATGTATGATTAGTAGATCATCAGTCACCCCCTCTTACCATTGAGTGACCTCTATTCAACATATCAATTGCGGCCCACTTCCACGCCTATTTTATTGATATGACCAGCATCCCACATTCCACGCCCCCTAGAGACACCACTGGTTCTCGTTGTGGGCATCATAATCAATAATCCTTATTATGTTCTTAAATCTCGCTACGCCTCTGGTCTTTCCATTTACTGTGCCATGCCCATTGTCGGTGGGCACGGAATCAGTTTATATTTTTAAATATGCAACAAGTTTACCCGTTCAAATAACATTGTTATCTTTCTTTTATCTTTCTTAAGTACGCTGGTTATCTCTTCCCAAACTACTGATAAATTGATGCCCTTTTACAACCCATTGACCTACTTATGATTAGATCTATGTTCATATCCTAATATTCATTGTTGCCGCCTATGCCTTCCATAAACAATCGGAAAAATCCATTTCTAAAACAAGATGGCGTCCGGAGGAAATCGAGACTATAAATCGGTTTCAGTGTTTACTCCACTTGCACCTAGTCACACACAATCAGAGAATGTAAGAAGTGGCAATAATTGTGTGCACCTCTGAAATTGAATAGGCAGTGATTTTGGATACTATTTATGTTGGAGCAGGTGGAGATGTTATATGAAAAAAGAAATAAAATAACTTTGCCTACGCCTACGCATACTCATACACTACTACCGAACTGACCTACTCATACTCACTGACCAAGTTTCTGACTAAGTAGACAGCAAGCAGACTCAGTTCAGTGTTGAGTTCAGGTTCTGCACTGCTGACCACTGACTCAATGAACTCAACAATGACTGCGAAGCCAGTCTGCCAGTAGTAGTACGCTAGCCCTAGTTAGTTATTTATTATTATGCCTTTATTATGTATGCCTTTATTATGTATGCCTTAAACTTAAAGCGATTGCCTTTAAAGTTTATTATTATTATTAGTATTATTAATATTATGATTATGATAATATGAGCACAATATTAATATGAGCACCTAGGCCTAGTTTGTGTCGAGTTAGAGGCCTATGCCTAGTGTCCTTTGCCTTTATTATTTATCCATGTTATTCCCATACAATTTTCAATAACAACCAGAATGTTTCTCCATTATCTTAAGTTTGAAAGTCATTGCTGTGTCACAGTGAGTGTGATCCTAGTCATACTCATAGTTATCATAGTAGTCATAGTCATAGCATGATTTCCCCCTACCCCCAAATGCTCCAATTTTTCTATCCCTCTTTCTCTGAGTGAGCTTCTATAGCCTAGGTGTTAAAAATTTTAAGTTTAAAGGTGAAATAATCCAATAAATATACTTTTTATAAATTTTATGACTGTTTAAAAAATAGTAATTTAAAACAAAAACTAACACAAATGCTTTTAGTTTTGACTTTGGAATGAGTGTAGTGTTAGTAGTTTGTTTAGCATTTTTTAGGCCTAGGTCTAGATCTATACTATAAATATGTATTGAATTTATTCTGTTTCTGATTTAATGAAAATAAAGTCTTGTGTAAGAAATGCTGTTAGTAGTAGTGTTATTTATGTTGTAAATGACTCAGTCAAAAATATTACAAATACATAATTAACTACTGAAATTTTACTTATTTTCTTCAGACAATTTTAGAATGCAGAGTGTGCAATGAGGTTTTTAGATTTCAAGGCGATAAGGTACCAAGGTTGTTAATCTGTGGCCATACATGCTGCCATCAGTGTCTAACAAGGCTACAGCTACATGGGAGGTCAGTTTTGTGTCCATTTGACAGACAACCAACAGAGATTGGTGACTCTGGTGTTTGGGGTCTCAAGAAAAATTTTGCTTTGTTGGAGCTGCTAGAGAAACTACAGTATCCACCGCTGAGTCCTTCTCGGTCATTGCCAGATCAAATTCTTGCTAGGGAACAAAGTGTAAGTAATCTGTCTATCAAAGATTCACTATTTTATTTATTCAGTTGATATGAGTGAAACATGAACATAACATGATGACAAGTTGAAGAAGAAACAGAGTTTTAAAGTGAAATTTTGAAAGTTGAAGTCTTCTATTGTCTTATCAAAGATTTAACAAGTAATCTATGGCTCAGCACCCTTTAGCAATGGTCTAAGAAGGTGGGTCTGGAGGTTGCTGTACCTTTATTCTTTATGTTGAAGGGTTGCATTTTTTACCAAATGCAGCATCTTCTTTGTGGAAGGGAGGTGGCAAAAAGTTTGGTGTGTCCCTAGCGACAGCTAGTGTAAAATATAAAAAAAAAAAAAATTGTACAAAACTAAATACAAAAGTAGCTCTTACTGTTACTGCTTGGAAGTTAAGAAGGTTGTAATTCATCTTTTTAATATATTATAGAATAGATGGCCTCTTTGATTTATTCCAGCTTTCAATTAGCTGTGATGAAAATGAACTTCATACAGCCGTGCTCTTCTGCACCGTATGCAGTACTCATTTGTGTGTTGAATGCTCAGAAATTACTCACTCAACACGTACATTAGCCCGTCACAAACGGGTGCCCATCTCTGAGAAGCCAAGAGAAAATCCTAAATGTGTGTACCATCCCATGCATCTGGTGGAGTTTGCTTGCCTAGAAGATGAATGCAAGTTGTCTCCCCTTATGTGTTATATCTGCAAAGACTATGGCCGACATACCAAGCACAAGGTGGGTTGTTGAAGCTGTCAGTGTCCAATGAAATTTTATCACAGAAATAAAAGCAGCTTTGTGAAATGTCATTTTAAAACTGATTTAAAACAAAAAAAAATGGTGGTGAAATTTTAAATGCTCCTGCTACTTTCATTTGTGTGTAATTCATCACCCTCTTAAGAGAGACTGACATAGAGTTTAGATGACATAACATTAATGAAAATATTACATTATTTATATGCTTTATAAATTAAAATCATGCTGTTTCATATTTTAAAACTACATTACAATAAAGAATAGAAGTGAGGCTTTGAATTTATATGTAAATTGATCTCTGAAAATCTTTGATGAAGTATTAGCGCTGGAATATAAGTAGTTTGACTCAAGTTTCCCTAACAATAAATGCTGTTATTTCTTCACATGCAGCATGCTCTGTTAGAGTCAGAAGCGGAGAATGTTCGCTCCTCTATAAGAAGTGCTGTTCAGCACATCAAGTCTTTTGCTGAGGAGGTAACAGACTCTGCCAGGAAACTAAGTGTGGTCATCCAGCAAATAGAAGGAGGTGTGCAGATGGTACACAGTGAAGAGGACACGGCAACCCAGCAGGTTAACAATGTGCTGGAAGATAGGATATTGTCAAATTCGTGTTGTGTTAAAACACACCTGTTGCATTACAGGACAATAGCTTGAATTCAAATGCTAGGTATTAGTGGATAGATCAGAAAAATAAAACAACTAAGAATGTTTAAACTCATGAGTGTTCATTGACGACTCAAAACATGGGGTACACTAGTTAATAAGCAACATAGTTTGGTTATAACACAGAAAAAAAAGCCACAGCTGGAGCTATTTCTTACTCTAAATTTTAAAAAAGCCAACAAAATTTTTTAAATAACTTCATTGTACACGATAAAATTAATATGCAATAGCAGTTGACACATAACCATCAATTATGATGGTTTTCCCCATCATTCTGGTCTGAACTCACCCTCTACTTCCATCTCTTATTTAAAACTAAGTGAAGTCAAGTGAAAATGGCAATAATAAAATAATGGCTAAAAAGTTTATTTAAATTTTATTAATTAATCACTACACATTATTTTTTAAAATGAATTGTAAATGATAAATGCATGTCTCTCAGTTTTATTTGTCTGAGATTACTTGAGCTTGTTTAGCATTCCTCTCAGACTCTCTTAAAATTTCTAGACAAATTTGATCATTGACTCAATCACCTATTTTGTCTCATACAAAACAAAGGAAATTAAAACAATGGATTTAATCTTCAAACCTGTTCTTAGTTTGCGGAAAAATAAAGTTCTAATGCAGATGATCTGCTGTTGAACAGTTCAAATATTTAATAGTTTTAAAAGCAAATTATGTTTTATATTATTTAATTTCATTTTTTATTAACATTGAAATATAGGTCATTGGAACGGCTGAACAGGCGCGGCTGAAAATAAAAACATATTTCAACGAGCTTAGGGAAAACTTAAACAGACAAGAAATGGCTGCCCTAGGGGCAGTGGACACGCATATCCGGGAGAAGCTGTGCTCCCTGCGGCAGCAGCAGGAGGATATGGCCATCTTGATGTCACAGATATCCTCTGTGTGCCACCAGTGTGAGACTACCCTACAACAGGTACAAACAAAAGTAATCATTGAAAACATTTTCTTGCATGATCTGTTGTTAGCAGTGTCAAAATATATTCTTCTGTGTTATGCAACAATAGATTAGGCTTTTTGTAGACTTGGATTGATAGTTTTAGAATTGTTACTTGTGAATAATTGCTGTTTTAATTCATTTGATAACAATTGATGATCTAGTTCAGTTTCTGTTACTGCAAGCTGTCCACATATTCTCTGACTACAGGATGACACACGCATATTGCTGGCCAAACCAGAAGTGAGTCATCTGCTGGACACATTACAGAAACAACAGCAGCAATTCATGGACCTCCCTGACCAGTTAGCCCTTGAGCCCACCATACCAATTACTTTCACCAAGGTAAGCACATTTAGGCCTATTAGTTTCATTATGTATGTGGAAAAAGTTAAAGCACTAAGCGTTATCTGAAATAAAATTATGCCCAGCATGACATGGTCTCCAAAAAGTCAATAGAGCATTGGAGATTTGTTTTCAAAATTAAGGTTACTGAAAATTTGTGTTAAAGCTGATTTTATGTAGTTATTGAGGTGAGATGTTTAAATTCACAGAATTTTTAAACCTATCATTTCAATAGTAATTCCCTAAAGAAGAAAGTTAAAATGTTTGCATTTAAATAAATACCAATTGTTATTTGTTTTCAATGGAATATTCCTTTCATCTGTTGAAGAAATAATACAATAATGGCTGATAATAGCTGACATGATAAGCTATGTCAAATTATTGCTGTCACAGTATTTTAGTTTTTACATTTTTGTTTTCTCCACAGGACAACCGAGTTCACATAGGACCTAAAATAGAGATGCGTGTTGTGACACTAGGACTTGATGGAGCTGGGAAGACCAGTATACTCTTTAAATTAAAGCAGAATGAATTTATTCCAACTATCCCAACCATTGGTTTGTAGTGCTGCATTTTTCAAACAAAGCCAAAAACATCAAATTGCTAATGGTTTATTCTGTTTACTTAAAACAGATTTTAAAAAAAAAATCCATTTTATCTTAAAATGATATTCATTATATTGTTTTTTTTTACAACTTTTGAATATGTTTTTAAAAACAAAATTCATTTAATTTTTCATTATTCATATTCATTATATCGTTTTAACTACTTAAATTTTTTCATATTCAAATAAGTTATTTTAAATGTAATAATTGATAAGATTTATATACCAAACTCTAGGCTTCAATGTAGAAACTGTTGAGTATAAAAACTTCAAATTTACCATCTGGGACGTTGGTGGACAACATAAAATCAGGCCACTCTGGAAACATTATTATTTTAATACTCAAGGTATGTTGATATGTGTGATAGCACAGCTATTTTTATATATTTTAGGCAGGGAAATATTCAGTGGGGCACTCAAGACATGTACTTTTGTGTGGTAGCACACCTATTTGGATTTGCTTTAGGCAGGGAAATGTTCATTGGGGCACTCAAGGCATGTACTATTGTGTGGTAGCACACCTATTTGGATTTGCTTCAGGCCGGGAAATGTTCATTGGGGTGCACATGTCGGGCGATTGTTTTTCATGTTAAAGAAGAGAAATTTTTTGTAATTAATAATAAAGATAATATTGTATTGGTTTGTCACCTTGTCATAATTTGTCATCATTATTTTTCTGTTGTAGCTGTTATATTTGTGGTGGACAGTAGCAACAGAGAAAGATTGGAAGAGGCTCAGGGAGAACTAGTCAAACTTGTTCAAGAGAAAGAACTGAAGGAAGCTTCACTGCTCATTTTTGCCAATAAACAGGTAACTATTTAAATAAACTGCACAATAATTTGGGTTTTGAGATATTGACATTAATAGATATTTCTCCAAACATCCCCCAAACCTAATTTTCCTCACCCTCGAAATGTAAAAAAAACATAAAATTTAATTTCCAAATTGTTACAACACCTTTAAAAAAAATTAAAAATATCTGATTTTTGAGATTTCCGAGATTTATTTGTAATTAAAATACTATTTGATATGATTTCCCAAAAAATTAAATAAATAATACCAGTCTTTTTTCAGAATCCTAATTAGATGTAGGAATTTATTTTGACCTTGAACTCAAATTTGCAGCTGTTTAGTGCAGCAACAGGGAATTTTTTTATTGTGGATTATTGAACTCATAGTTACATGGTGACATTAGCTAGCTCTCATTATATATATATATATATATATATTTAGTTGACCTATACAGCAATGCTTTAAAAAGATTAAATACAACATCTTGATAATGAAAGCCAGCTGCTTACAAAGTTAAAGTTTTATCTTGGGATCCAGGTGCTAAATAACAATGACCTTTAACCAGAGCCCATTTAAAAGCCACCTATGCCTTGCACCAAGTTTTGATGTGATGTGCAAAGTTGTGCACGCACATTTTGTGTCAGTCTTGTCGCACCACTGATTGGCATGCTCTGTTATTTACTAAAAAATATTTTTCTTTGATGTGTAGATTTGTGTCATTCACTATTTATTTGTGTTGTTCCAGGATGTTGAGGAGTGTGTCACCATAGAAGAATTAACTGAGCAGTTTGGACTGCTCAAACTGTGCTGCAACAGGAGCTGGCATCTCCAAGCCTGTGATGGTAAAAGTGGTCAAGGGTTGGCTGATGGCCTGGAGTGGCTGTCAAGGCAGATGGTTGCGGCTGGGGCCCCTGAGCTTGCTTAAGTAAAAAAAAAAAATTGGCACTGTTAGTGTCTAGTCTATTCTCATCTACAGTCAGCTAGACAAGTTGGAGTAGCCTAAAAAAATGGTCATTGTCCAACTCATCAAACACATGTTTCAATGTATGCTTTATAACTGAATGTTCACATTGTTGTTAACAGTTACTGACAATCAAATACTTCAATTAATCTTTTTAGTGTACTGTTGAAAAATACCATTTGTATGATAGATATCTAAACATAAAATACCATTTGTGTGATAACTATCTGGATATTTAAATGTTCCCATTTTGCTTACATTTACTTTTTGGGTGGCATCCTGTTTATTAAAGGAATAATTTTTTGCTTAATTTTTTATTAAAGGTAAAAATATTTTAACTTATGCTCCACTGTATAGTTTTTGGTACCCAACTTGTCACTTTGTGTATAGCTTGTATAAATCTGTAATAAACTTACACTGAATGATATTATAAAAGTTACCTAATGGGATAGGGTCTGCCCTGGTTGCAAATATTTCTTTGATGTTCTATTGCAGTTGTTCTATTATCTGTGCTGCTCAAAATTATTGTATATAATAATTAATAATAATGTTGTTAATTCTGTGTTGATTCTCAAGTTTTTATGCTGGGGAACTTTTTAGCATTGATTATGGAAATTAAATGAAAATATTTTGTCTGAAAAGTGTTTATGTGTCTGTAGAGTTGAAATAGGAGTTTGTTAATTGAAGCCATAGTAAAGGATAGTGATTACCCGTTCTGAAACTTACCCCGATGTGCAGTTCAAGAGCTGTACATAAATCGCTGTTGATGACGCACTAGAGGGAAACATTAGTTTGAGGGATGTGAAATACCTTGAGAATTAAATCATAGCTCATTTTTTGGCTTTATTTTTAGGCCTTTTCATGTTGTCAATATATGTTTATTGTTCAAATTGTGGATACTTATTTATAAATGATATTCCAGGTAATAACTTTCATAGTTGACCCATTTGACTCCTGAGTACTCTACTGTGCGAGGTGTACTGAAACAGGAAATGTATTGTCACAAGTTGATGGTATATGCTTCCAGCCATTCATATTTATTGATGTTGGCTGGGGTTACATTTTCACTTAGTTACTTTCAGAATTTTAAAATTCTGACATGAAATATTTATGACATATTTATGTCTTTAATTCTAAATGTTTTTTTTCACAAAGATTGCTCGAAGGCTGTGCTAGATTAAAAAAAAAATGGATTAAAAAAATTTGTTGGTTGAATTCAGTTATAGTTATATTGTGCTATTAAATTATGTTGTAGAAATATCGCAGTACATTTTATGTGGAGCCAAAATATCACAAATACCGGTAACATACGAATAAAACATCATTCCATATTATACAATTAACTAACTTTATTACCAGAAAATGTGATCAAATGACTGATTTTGATACAAAAAAACATAGTTATAAAAATCAAGTTTAAATTACCCATAGCAGTGTATATTAAGTTTTAATCATTAGTTAATCATATTTGTTAGGTGTGTTGTCTTGTTGAACAGTGTGCAGCAGAGGTTCCTTATCTTTTTTTCACTTTCAAAACCCAAATGGATAAAGTGCTGCATACCAGAGTCATTATTATCTCAGTATATTTTTAAATGCGTGGGTCACATGCAAACCGTGAGATTGAGGGACCTCTGCTTTACATTAAATTCATTATTTTGGCTTAGACTAGGAGTTAAATAAATCATTGAAAAGTTGCTATCACAGCAAGTAAAAGGATATCTGAAATAAATATAATTATTTACAATATCAGGGAATAAATAATCATAAAAAGAAATCTGTTATTTACCAGTCCCAAGATTTGTCTAATCTTATAAGCATTACAAAACAATAAACGCTTAATGTGTTGACAAAGTTCTATAGATGAAATTCTTTACAATAAAAAAATAAAAAAAACCCCAACAACATATTGTTAACAGTAAAAATTAAAACACCCTGTTTGTTACCTTCATAAAAGTGACAGAAGTAAAATGTTTAGAAAACTTAACAATTGTTTTAGTTTTGAACATGTCAACTTTCTAAAAATATTGAATATAAATTTAAAAGTAACCATGATAATGCAAGAAAATAAATTATAATTTATATAGATTGAAATGAAAGAACTAAAACTGTTTGCAACCTGAAATGTCATATGAGACATTAACATTGTCCTTGGATTATAAAAAAAATAATCAAATGCGGTCATTATCCTTCAGATTTACACCAAAGGATTGGCAGATGTATAGGCATTACAGAAAGTTGCTAAACATAATCTCACTTCCACAAAGTCTGTTCTTGAAATATTTCTGGAATTGGTATTTATTCACATAATGTTAAAAATAACTATTTAAATACATTTAACAACTAAACTATAAAATAGACTTGAAAGCTTTTAATTACGGAGATTTTTATAGACTATAACCATACTGACTATGAACTTGGAAAAGGTATGCTTTTAAATAAAAGGCGGAACCATGTACACAATTTTGTTTGCTATATACAAACATGAAAGAACCAAAACTCAGAACGTTCATCAGTATAAATTATTGGTAAATTGTTTCAATGACATATGGTACTACCAATGGTAGGATGTGAATTGATTCTGATATGGTTTATGGACCCAAACAGATTTGAAAAGTTTGCTTGAGACAACAATAATATTTTTAGGTTAAAATATATTTCCAAAGTGTCAATGTCTGAATGAAAGGATAAATTTCAGTGGTTAAGTATTTTCTTAAAAAATAACATTGCAAGCATTTGATAAAAAGGGAATGTCATGTTTTTGTGTAAACATAGAATCAAAAAAAGAAAGAGGAAAATTGTATATAGCAAGAAAAAAGATTAATCCGAAATTTATAATTTGTCTTTTGGATTTGGCTGGCTCTGATGAGTTACAAAATTATGTTCCAAACAGACTGCAAAGATTTGTTTAGCCTGTAAAGCTTTTAGTCTTTTGTCCAACACATGAGACCTAGAAGTCCTAACAGGCCATTTGTTGCAGAATAGGACTTGTATATTAATTACTCTAAATAAAATTATGTGTAAGATGCCATTTGAAAATACCAAAAAAATTTTTTTTTAAAATTGTCCGATTTCAATTTAAACTGCTCTTTTCTGATTATGATCACAAAGACGTTTGTTAGAAGACAAATAATAATCCTTAAAGCTTAGCATTAGCGTACTCTGTGCCCTCATTCCCAACAAATCCCATATTGTCTTGTCCAGAGGTCTCTGGAGCCACAGAGGATTTGGTATCATTGAAGTTGGAATATATGCTGTTGGTTTCATTGTACAGTTTGAGAATCTGGTAGAGTATCTTGTACTGATTCTGTGGATGGATGGGAGTATTAACCTGGCATATCACACTGGTTAAAAAAAGTTTTAGTTTTTAATGTCTATATCTAAAACATTTGAAAAATATTGTTAAATACTGGTACTTTAAGTAGAGCAAGTTTTATCACTTTCAATTTCTTTATGACTATAGGCCTACACTCCTTTTAATGTCTAAAATTGATTTGAGGCATTAACCAAAAATATAAAAAAAACTTATTTGCATTAACTAATATTTCCTTGCACAAAAAATGTGTGATGATTAAGATGTAATTTTTCCATTTTGATCCATCATAGCATATCTAAGATGGTGTTGCCAGACTCATGAAAATTTACCATACCGTACATGAACAGAGTGAATCAATACACAATTTTCAACTTTCTTAAAAAATGTGTCTATTCAGTCAATTTTCATTGAGAACAGGGAATTGACATAATTGAATAAGTGACTTGTCATTGATTATATAAAATAATTTTATTACCACTGCTGGGATAACCTGTGACCGAATCGCTTTAATGGCACCAACAACAAGAGGTACAGTCAGGCGCAGGTCATTGTCCATTCTGTCCAGCAAGAGAGTCAAGACACAGGCCAGACCACTGTATGTAGCACCGTTTCTGGAAATATTATAATTTTTAATTGGCCTTATAATTTAACTGGTATTGAGAGAGCTATGTTGATGACAGTGTAAATAACATGTAAACAAAATGGAGAATTGAAATATTTGAATTATTCCTGTGTGTTGAACAATAAATACATAATGGTAGCAGTTATTGAATTTAATAAAGACTTCCTAAAAAAAATATGCCAAGTTCTTCAAAATCTTGTGAAATATTTAGTATTAATTACTATTAGAGCCAAAGAACAAATTTCATGAATATCAATGGAAGGATTAATCTTAAACAAAAGCAATTTAAAATCGTTTCTAGAATGGACCTATCTTTGGAATATTTGTATAGGTTTATTTATATTAAAGATAAACTCCATTTACCTGCACATGTACAATGTTCTTTCATTATGTTTTGGATTGTATGTTCTTGCATGTTTGATGAATGTCAACAACTTCATTGGATCTGTGCCAGTTTGGGTGTACCTAAGATGTACAAGGCTATGCTCCTCAGCACCCTAATTATTGAGTTAAAAAATGTCGGATACCCAGTCGTTAGTGAATAGAAAAAAAATCCAAGTATAAGAAATAAATAGTTTCTAAACATTACAAATTAATGTAGGTTTAACAAATATGAAATTGCTTGAAAAAAAAACATCTCCTAGTCTGATAAATTTATTATGCATGTATGTTTACATTCACATTTTATTATGTTGACACATAAAAAAAGTAAGAGTAATGAGAGGAGACATGCAGCCGCCTACTTTAGGTCCAGATATGATCAGTTTTCTCTCCTCCCATTCTGATCCTTGCACACAAGAGCACATTTTAATTTGAAAGGGGGGACAACTGGCAGGTTGGTTTTCATCAGTGGGAAGGTAGTACCCTATTGTCTGGACGTAAACAAAAAATATTGTGAATATTTCAGAAATCCCTTAAACATTAAAATTTATTTGGTTATATACTGTGTTTTCCTTATTTCTAATTTATTTCATTTTTTGCATAAAGGATTTTATAATTCTTAAACTGAAAGATTTTAAACACGAGTAATATCATTGTACATTTGTATATGGCAGTTAGCTTATTTGTGTCTTCAAACTTAATTAAACTATTAAAAGAAAAAATGAAAGTAAAATACTCATTGACAAATTTCGCCAAAAAGATTGGTGTTGTTTTAAAGTGGGAGGACATGAATAATTTTATTGTTATTCAATTTTAAATTCTTTCTTAAATTGCAGTTAGCTGATGCTTCAAAAGAAAAGGAAATGTTGGTTTTCTCATTTTAAAGGTAAAATTTGTAAAAGGAAAATTAAGTTAATTACTGAATCTGTTGTCATCAATTGCTCCTCAAAAGCAACAACTAAAGAAATTTTAAGTTGAGTGATCAGACGCCAAAAGTCCAGCACTGTTGTTGGAAGTGGAAGTTGTGTGATGACATCTTGATTCCTTTTGGTAAAACTCTGCAAGAAACACAAAGTGTATACCCTCAAAATAAAATATCTATTGTGTGATGTGGTAAGAATAATGGAATTTTCACTATATGACTAGACAAAAAAAGTTAGTCATAAAATAATTTTAAGTTGTAACAAATAAGACTATGATTATTTAAGGAGTGAGAACATTTCAATAGTTTTTTTTATTAAAGGTTTTAACCAATAAAGAGGTTCATGGCATTATCTGTTATGAAATAAGCAAAAATTATTTATCTTTAAGAAAATGTATTTTGCATCTGATACATCAATAATTTAAATATAAAAAAAAATAAAATAAAAATACCGGTGTTAATACAGCATTGATGTAGTCCTCCATATCACTAGATTCACGCATTAGTAAAGGTCTGTAACAGTCCTCTGTTCATAAAAGATAAGATAATATATAAAGTAAAATTTGTAATATTTTTGGAGTAAAAAATTTCTTTTAAATCCATTTGCTACAATTTGTAAAAATTTTACTATAATATGTTTTGTTTTACTCTACAGTCACTGATAAAATTAAGAAAAATCTTTTCAAAATAATAGTTAAAAAAATTAAATAAAATCAATTCTAACTACAAACTTACTTGGCAGGATGTTACCAAATCGGTTTTTAAGTTTATTGGAGACAGTTCTGCTGTTTTGGTACATAACTCCAGCTGATCCTTCCTCATCTATTGTTTCACCATCATCAACACACACATCACAAACAATCTAAAAATATTGAAACATACTCTCTACAACAATGCTATGGGGAGTTACAATAGCATGTAATTGTAATAAAATATAAATTACCAGTGACATAACTGAGAGGTCCCTAGGATAATTTGCTTTTCCCCACAGACATTGAATTATAGAAGAAGAATATTTGGTGTACCTAAATTATAATGCCAGATATCTTAACCAGAAGTATGGAAGTTTAATTATATGAAAATATTGGTTTTGCAAAGTGGAATTAAAATCATACATTTTCTTAAATTCACAAAGCCACTGCTTTTCTGAACCTCCTTCTTAAAAATCAACTTTTTCATACATTTTCCAGTGTTCGGGCCTTGGAGCAACCTAATTGGAGCAACCTAATTTATATGAATAATTTTTTTTCTTCCACAGTAAATTTTTAAATTCCGCTCGTTATAGATTTCTGGCTAATCACACTTCATCCAGTTTGACTACATTGTATGGCTTACTTGAATTTTTTAAAATTATGTTAAAATTGTAATATTTTAAATTTTTTTTTATCTAAACAAATCTTTGTATCTGAATTTAATAAAAATTTTTTGAAATTGAAAGCCCCGATGTAAATACAACACTTTTCCTATTGTTAGAATTAATTAAGCAAACTTTTATTTCTTACCTTATTGTATCTTATCTAATTGACACCTGTGCTAGATAATCATACATGATTCAGTTTTTTTAAAGAAATGGTTTTCTAAAAACTTATGAAATATTTATTGGCTTGAACAAAGACCAATTAAATTATGTGAAAAACTTAAATCCATTGAAAACTTACTTCAAACTCTTGCTCTAATTTAGATTTTCCAGAAATATTTTTTTTCTCAAGTTGTTGAAATCTCTCAACAATGTTGTCAGATGTGATAGTTGTATTTAAGCAGACCATTGCCACTTTGGCGGCTTCATGCAAGAACACATATTGCTCCTGGTGATATAAAAAAGCATAACTTTATACATCATAAAATTTATGTTTAAAAAATGTTTTATCTTGAAGCCCTTTAATTTGAAAAATTCAAATTATCGCCCTTGTATCCCAAAACATAATGTATAAAAATGATCATATCAAGCTTCGTAGCTTGATGTATAAAAATAAATAAATAAACATTAGTAACTTTTATACAGTAAAAAAGCATTTATATTTATAGAATAAAGTGTATTAAAATGTCAATTAGCAATTATATTTAAAAAATGCAAAAATATTTTTTTTTCATTACAAATTAAAAACAAAGCAAATACATTTTTAAGTGGTCTATTCAATAAGAAAACCTACTGAACAATGCATGCAGGGCATTTGAAATAAAAACCAAACAAACAATGTTTAAATCTCTAACAGACTTGTTGCTGATGACAACAACTCTGCCAAATGTTTAGCCCTTCAACATATCGAGCTTTAAATCTCTAACAGACTTGTTGCTGATGACAACAATTCTGCCAAATGTTTAGCCCTTCAACATATCGAGCTTTAAATCTCTAACAGACTTGTTGCTGATGACAACAACTCTGCCAAATGTTTAGCCCTTCAACATATCGAGCTTTAAATCTCTAACAGACTTGTTGCTGATGACAACAACTCTGCCAAATGTTTAGCCCTTCAACATATCGAGCTTTAAATCTCTAACAGACTTGTTGCTGATGACAACAATTCTGCCAAATGTTTAGCCCTTCAACATATCGAGCTTTAAATCTCTAACAGACTTGTTGCTGATGACAACAACTCTGCCAAATGTTTAGCCCTTCAACAGTATTTCAAAGGTAACAAAAAGAAATATGATGGATGACATATGATGGATGACATGGCCCCGACGCAATTTTAGTTAGTTTATAACTGTAACAACTATTATACATTATGTTTATGGGCACTCCACGCCTTTTTAGTTAGTGATTTGACTAAACAAAATATGATACCCTGAGTTTAATGGCGCCTTACGTATTTTTAGTTACTGATATGATTGTAACAACTGAGTTCGTTTGTTGCCCAATATAGGTATCAAATTACTATATTAACTCTTAAAAATAATATATGTTAATTTAAAACTATTTTAATCGAACATTTAAAACGTATCCTAATAAATTTAATAGATTTCTGGAACCAAAAAATAGAATGGCATTGTTATTCACGCCACTTAACAATATCTATATCGTCCCAAATCATGTAACCACAAGGCAGACCGAATTAGTTTGATGTAAAATATTGAACTGTTCTTGGTAGGAAAATACATCTGTGTTTCATTATCAATAGTTTGATTAAATTGGTGTTATGTCAGCTACATTACATTTGTAAACGTGTAATTGCAAGCAACAAATAATTTACTGAAAGGAAAATACACATATACACATATATATGTATTGATCTATATTTATATATGTATATCTCTCTCTCTCTCTCTCTTTCTCTATATCTTTATATATATATATATATTATTTTTATTACTTATGAAGTGGGAAACCAGTCCAAACAAGCCCAGTGACATTCTGTTTAGCTTAAACGTGCCCAGACAGATTTCCTTTTTTCCTTTAAACTCTTTCCTGTCTCTGGAGCGATATAAATACCATTTCTAATTTACTAAAGTTTCATTTGGTCAAGATGGGCGTCTCTAAAAAAATTAAAATAATATTAACTTACTTGAGTCTGAACCATTAGATATCTGTCTCTTCTCAGTTTGGCCACAGTATTGAAAAAATCCATCTTTTGTGTAACTTCAGCTTCTCTCATAACATTACGTAGTGCTATGAATGTTCCTGTACGGCCAACGCCAGCACTGAAATAGATATACAATGTTATAGATATGCTCGTCTTAACTACCTGGGGGCCACATGAGCATTGTGGACCTATTCAAATCCTTGCTATTGATAGTTGTGAGTTGCTGTTGATAACCAGCGAGCTAAGGATAACAAATATTTCAAGATCCCTTCACCGATGTTTAATTTCTATTTTAAACCATGTTTTAATTCAAGCCATTTGCTTTGATGACATTAAATGAAGCTGTTCATTAAACTTCAGCTTTTATTGTTTATTCCAATTTTATCTTACTATTCCATGTTTCTTCTATTACCATTCACAACATTCATTTTCTTTCTCACAACTCATTTTTTCAAACCCGTTTTTCATACTGTCTTCTCCACTATCGTTCCCCACTCCCTTCCCCCCACCGGCTACCGGAAATTTGTTTGAAATAAATTTCGTTGACGGAAAATTGATCGATGGAAATTTGATCGAACGGAAATTTTGTCGAATCGTTTTTTCAGTTCACACGTTAAAATTTTCGTCAAACTTCTTTTTGAACGCACTGTACTTATATAGTTAAACAAACTTTCCCAGTTTAGACCACTCCGCCACCCAGCACCCAGAGATACTTTCTAGATACTTTTTGTATAACTAACCTGCAGTGCACAACTATAGGCCGCTTTGTAGGAGAAGCCGCCACTCTTTGTTCAAAGTCCACTAGAGCCCAGGGGTTTTCTGGTACACCCTTGTCTGGCCAGGATGTGAAGTGAAACTGGGTCACTGGGTGCATTGAATGTCCATCCTTAATGAGGATTCAAAAGTATAATAATTTTTCTTTAAGCTGTTATCATGGTTTGTTCATTAACTTATCTATTAAAGAAGACAAAAGTCAGGAAATGCTCAAAGATGGAATGGAAGCAAATTTTAATATTGAGCATATAGGAAATAGGGTGGCAGCATTTGCTGGGTCATTTTCATTCTCAAGACAATTTTCAGAGTGGAAAATATTATTTGACTCATAGTTTTGTGTTACTGACATGTTCAACCAATTTCACTTATTAACTTCCAAGTTAAATTAACGCAAATGTTACTGTATCAATGAATAGGAATTCAATCTTTCTATCGTCTTAAGTAGAAACCAGTTTTATCATTTTGTATTTCTCTTGCGTAGACACCAATTCATCTATACCTTTGTTAAAGTTTTATTGTAGCCTACCATCCTCATTCAATTATTTTTTTACGTCATATGTGAGTCAAAATTGAATCAAAGGTGTGCCAACAGAGCCTTTGTCTGACATTTGGGAACCCCTTGCCCCGTTTCGGTATTTGCCCCACCCCTGCTATTTTCGGTTTGTGCCGCCCTGCCACTTTTCGGTTTTCCAATATTTGATATTTAAATAATTATTGTCCACATCACAACTTTGGAGTCCTTGATCTCAAAATGTACCTGCAGGCCGTGACGGCTACGCGTACCAATAAAAACATGCTGGGAAGGATCGTTACAAAAAGATAGTGTTACAGTAAGGATATTTAGGGACATTCACCTGACGTCAAGCTTAAAATTATGAACTCAATTCACATGAAAGAGGACACGTCGCGTTTTAAAACAATTGAAATTCTACTCAAAAAGGTAGGTTTCATCACCTTTGACAGCTGGAGACGTCTTATAATGTAGTCAGCAAACACCTGAGTAGCCGCAAGCTTCACTGTTATCTCTCCAAATACAACCTCGTCTTCATCTGGCCAGTATGGATCACACTTGGACTAGGACGACAGGGTGGCAAATTGACAAAGTCAGTGGGATTCTTAGTAGTTAAAACTTTTGGCTTGCAAAATAATACACTTCCTTATTTTAGTTAAAGAGAGAGAGAGAGAGAGAGATAGAGAGAGAGAGAGAGAGAGAGAGAGAGAAAAAGAGAGTGATATAGAGAGATGGAGACTTATATAGGATAGATATATATATAGGATATATAGGATAGATAGATTGGATAGATTGGATTGATAGATAGATAGATAGATATCTGATAGATAGATGATAGATATATAGATAGATAGATGATATATAGATAGATGATAGATATATACATAGATAGATAGTTAGATAGAGAAAAAATGTATTACATTAACAGAATAAATTAAAGGTTTGCTTTATTCTTTAGCATAATTAAACATTCTTGACTCATTTAAAAAGTCTTGGCAATATTTAAAGTTAATTAGATGAACTTAAGAAAATTTCACGTGAATGTAAAAAAAATTTATACAAATATGAAAAAGGGGCAAAAGATTATTTTAAAAAAAACACCCCCCCCCAAAAAAAACAACAACAAAACAACAACAACAACAAACAAACAAAACAAACAAACAACAAGAACTCTGTAATGAAATCTAAATCTTGGCATAAAACAAATCAACTTAAAGTCCACATTTTAGCCTAAAGAAAGAAGTAACAAACAATGCTTCAACAGTAAATATTTATCATATAAAAACATACTCACTTTTCCATGCTCATATAAGTTTGTCAACATGACAACTTTGTCAACTTTTTGTTCCCACAACATCCGCACAAAGTCATCTAAAATAAGTTTTGTTGGCCCTGTCAGAGAATTAATATGTAAGTGAGTTTAAATTTCCGTTTATTTAATTTTTGAACATTATAGGCCTATTCGCTTGACCCTTATTTTAAAGCAATCACCAGTGGAGCGCAGTTCCAAATAGTAACAGGCTGGCCTTAGGAACAGTGGGTATTGCATTGATCAAATCTTTTTCACCTGACCAGTGAGCGTGAATGGAACACATCTTGGTGCATTGTTTTGTTGAATTCGGGGACCAATGTCCACCTCCGGCACCGAGAATCAACAGGGAAGAGTCTCCGAAATTATGAGATTCCAAAATGTTTCAAATCGATTCCGAATCGGTCAATGATAACTTTAAACGGGGAGCTCTTTACAACGATGACAGTTGATAATCTGACTGAAAGCTCAGCTTGGAGAGAGGAACAGATTCTATCACAAATTTATTGTCGGCGAATGATTAGCTTAAGCTACAAAGGAGAGAGCCAATGATTATGAATACAATGGTTGATGACCTGGGTGCCTCATGACCTGGACTAAGACGATGATATAGGTTTGGAGACTAGCAATTACCAAGAATTAGGTAAAAATGGGAGATATGGTGTAGAAGGAAGGGGGAGAGTGGTTTTAGAGACAGTGAGGAGGCTGCAGGAAAGAGGTAAGTGAATGTTGGGTTGTGTAATGTGGTTGGAGGGGAAGGTTGTATCAAGCAGAGTTGATGAGGTAGGTGTATGTAGGGAAAGCGTAGAGGTTGCAGGGGAGTGGGCAGGCGTGAGGAAGAGAGAGCGTGAAAAGAGGGAAAGATATGCAAATGTTTCATGGATAACGCATATGTGGAAAAAGGGGGAGGTTAGATAACCGGGTGTCAGTGAAGAAGATGGCAAGTTAGGGGAATGGTTGCAAAGGGCAGGGTTGGTATTTGCAGGGGAAAGGAAACAGTTATCAATTGAGAGGAGTTGTGCACTGGTAGATGGGTAGGGTCTGGTAGGGTAAGTGGGCCCAGTGATAGGGTCAGCGGGTCAAGTGATAGGGTAAGTGGGCCAAGTATTAAAGTAAGTGGGCCCAGTGTTAGGGTAAGTGGGCCCAGTGATAGGGTAAGTGGGCCCGGTGTTAGGGTAAGTGGGCCCAGTGTTAGGTTAAGTGGGCCCAGTGATAGGGTAAGTGGGCCCAGTGTTAGGGTAAGTGGGCCCAGTGTTAGGTTAAGTGGGTTAGCTTAGGTTAAATATGTTAACAAAATAGGGGTTGGGGTTGGAAATGTTTGATAATTGTTTACAAGTGTGAGGTAGGGGGCTTAGATTAGTTGACATCAACAACCATGTTTTCTCTATTAAAATTTTAATTTTTAAAAACTGAATGGTTATTACATCATTTTAAAAAATTTATAAGTAAAAATTAGTGTGAATATTCCTTTAATTTTTAGGCTGCCAACACTATAAGATTTTTAAATGTGTGTCTGCCTGTGCAAAGCAGATGGCTGGTCAGAATGTTAGCACACTTTGTTAGTGTTGGAGGAGTAAAAAATTGGCCTCTCTTCACCTGTAGATTCTGTTGCAGGTATGGAACAAGGACAAGATTGAAGTGCCATTTGCAGTCACGATAAATGATATTGACAGAGTAGGAATACGATATTTTTAGAAGTAGGGGAAAGTAAAGTGAGTAACAATGATATCATCGCTGCTTTAACATCTATTTTGCATTACAATTCATGTTGAAAAAGCATGTTCAACAGCACCAACAATGCCCTCTTGAGCATAATAAATTAGCATTTGCTCCTCAACAAAAAAAAAAAAATGGATTCGACCAATGCCAGTAGCTGCCAGGAGACAGAGAGAGAGCTTACGGCAATTATTGCCCACACCGACAATGCTTCTATTTTAAGTGCTGAATGGTTAGATGAGGATGATGTTGACTTGTCTGGTATATCGGTGTCGCAAGATGGAAATGATAAATCAGAACCTATAGACTATGCCCATCAAGAGCGTCATTTCAGGTTTTCTTCAGGGGGAAAAGGGGGGGGGGGCAAACCGAAACTTGGTCGGCTTGTTAAGTTTTTTTTGCTGGGGGCGCCACAATAAATTGCAATTTAAATAATTTAAATTATGTCCCACTGTTACGGTAGAGCAAACCTGGCTACTCCATGGGAAGATGATAGCAATAGCTAGAAACTATACTATAATTGTCAGCTTTCCTGACAATAATCATATTTATACCACAAATAATGATATTTAGTCTTTAACAACCTTTCAATTGATTCTGCATTGTAAAATTTAAGTGTTAAAACTTTTTAACTTGTTGATTAACAAGCTAAACATGTAATAAAATGTTTTTCCTACAATAATGTGTTTTAAAATAGATCATCACAAAGTAAAATGTATTTATAAATTAATTTATATTATATTTCCTTTATTGGTGGGGGAGGGGGTTAGAAAATTTTGCCATAATTAAATAGGGGGGGGGCGTGGTCATTAAAAGTTTGACAGTTGTTGACAAAAGGGGGGGGGACGGGGGGGCCTTAAATTGCTTAAAAATTGCTGACGTAATTAATGGATGACCCCTAAGAAGAAATGGAAGGTATTTGGAAGAGTTTCTGGACTTTTTTTTCTCCAGATTTTAGAAAATGTATCTATTTGGTATGATGTTTTCACTTGGAGACTTACTTAGAAAAATACAATATTTGAAAATAATTGTTTAAAAATAAATGTCGATGTCTTGTTCTTACCTTGTGAGGCGATGAACTTCTCCACATCATTGAATCCCTGCAAATCAAAGAACGTTTTAAAAATTATTAAGGTTTAGAAAAGGAAAAAATAAAATTTTTGATTTAAATAGTAATGCCATCTTTCCATTAGATCTAAATGAAAGCCAAAATATCCACAACGCTAGCGTTGAGGCTTACACACCTAAATATATTTAAAGATACCTGCAGGTAGGAAGCATTAATGTAGTCCCCATGCTTTTTACTGGTGTTGACTACAAGATGGACTCGGGAATGGTCATCTGTGAAAATATGAGTGAAGTGCTATTGTGACGTCACTGTTAGGCAAAAGTGATTCAGAGATTATATATATAGTAAATGCATTAGATTGAAATTAAATTGAATTGAAAAAAATAAACAGAAAGATAATAACATTGTACAGCATCTTTCTAATGACCGAAACTCAAAAATTTTTAAAAGAAATGCAACCTTTATACGAGAGCTGACCAATCAAGAGTAGTCTGGTCTCAACTCACCTGCACTTTGATGACCTCACCATGATCCGCAAGATAAACATTTCATATTAAGATTTACGCGCGTAGCGGGAATATTACGTGGACACAAGAACACACGAACGGTGGTCAGTGTTTAGTCAGCTCTGGTCAGGGCTGTCTACTCAGTGGTCATCGTCACATAGCTCAAAGTGGATGACATCCCAGTGTAGTTAAAAATGCCAGTGATCAAAATTAGTTTTCTCTTCTAGGTCCATGACATTTTGTTTAAATGTATTTTTAATGTTCAAAACAATATATGTTGCATTTTGAATTACAGAACAAAACATTAAAACAAAAGTTTCAACTAAATGCCTACTCCAGCGAACGTATCTATTCAAACTAAGAAAATTATGACAAAACGTGAGAAAACTGGAGAAACTTAGATCGTTAATAACTTTAAGGGAAGGTAATTTATAAATATAACATGGAAGCGTTTTTACCAGGACGACATAGGAAGTATTTAATAAAGTTTTTTAGTCTGAACAGCTTGGTAAACTCACAGGCACATATGTTTTTGTAGCGGTTCTTGTTTTTATTTTCTTCACTGAGTCCCACTGACATTGTGGCCTCGGAGTTTGTGGGTAAATTCTATAAAAAAAAATAAATAAAAATAAATAAAATTCATCTAAATGTAAATGATTGGTATTTTCAGATGATAAAATTAGAAATACTAAAAATTTAAACATTTATCAATATAAGGACTGAATTGTAAAAAAAATAAACAAATCTAGGAAATTTACTTTGCAGTGCGAGAAACAAATCTAGAAAAAAAAATAATCTTTTTGCGTTTTAGCAGGAAGAGGAAAAATATTACATTTATTTCTTCTGTTATATGGTGTGCATTGTTGAGAAAAGTGTACAGTCGAAGTGTGCTAATTTTTAATTTAAATAAAACAAAATTTGTTTTAAAAAAAAATCTAAATGAAACACATTAAAACACACTAGACAAGCAAGAAGTGTAGTGACATGACAAGCTAATATTGGAACAAGTTAAGTTTAAGCTTTAAAGGAAAAAGACATGGCAAATAAAAGGACGTTTCGGCTAGATGCCTTCTCCAGCAGACACGACAAAACAAGAAACAACGAAGCGTTAGAAATAAAAGTAAGAATTACGTGTTAGAACAGGCCTGCACAACATACGAACCGCCAGCACTCACTCTGCGGCCCGCGAAATAACAAAATATTCTTTATTATTATTACTATTTCCTTAATAGCCCCCCCCCCCCCCCCCCCCCCCTAATTTCTTTCGGCCCGCATAAGATTTTCATAAAGAATTACGGTCCGCCTTACATTTTAAGTTGTGCCCCCTGTGTTATAGGATCTCAATATCTGAAACCGGAAGCACTCTGTGTTTAGAGACGGAAGCTCTCTCTTACAAGCCATCGTGTAAACACTGAAGAAAAAAAAAAGCCGATACCAACATACCTGGAACTCCTTGTAGAGGTATTCTTTCCCATGAGTCAACAGGTAACTGCGAAGATTGGCCAAAGTGACGACGGTGGTAGAAGGTCCCCTTGGTAGAGTGACTGTGTTATAATAGCCAGTGCCCGAGCCTTTAACGGACTTTTCGGATTTTTCTTCGTTGATCGTCAGTGTTGGCTTTTTGGGAACAGCTGGTTTGACTGAGAGGATGAACATGTATTATCAACGTGTAGCATACATTGTTATGTCAGGAAATAAAAAAAAAATATTGGTATAGTGGGCAACAGGCCCACAGGGTTGTAAAATCAGTAAAATAAAATTGACAGACAATAATTCTTAATCTCCCAAATTTTTTACGAACACAGTTTATAAAAAAATAATTAATATCAGTTTATCTATGTTTTTATGTATCTATATTATACTATATTCTATGTAATATGACAATTTATGGTACGAGTCTTTTTTATAACGTTAGTTTATTTTTGGGCCTTCTCATCAGAGATGAATTTCTCCTTTTATTATTATACAAGTTTAAAATAATTATATCTTATAATAAATCATGTTTAGCTTTGAAAGACTTCCTCAAGTTCTTACGGACTTTTACGGACAAGTCACTTTAGGTTAAATTTGTATGGATGGTCCATATATTTGCCAATGGTTGGCAACTCAATTTGTCATGTCCCATACCATAAACTGTGTCCCATAAGAAGCAATAAAGCTGCCCTAAGGGGGAAAACAGTCGCTAAATCCATTTCAAATAATTAAAAGTGTCTTAGATAGCAATCATAGCAACTTACCTTTGACTTTTATACCATTACCATCATTGTCTAGTTGTGTTGTATTATTGGTCACTATGTTGCCATGACTGATGTCATCCTGATCTGAGTTACCATTGCTACTTATGTCAATATGGTCAGTAGTCTCATGTCGTCTCTGGGACTTTTTGACCAATCCACGCCGTCTGTTGAAATTATAATATGGAAAATAATGCAAAGTGTGGGGAAAAAAAAACATACAAATCTTCATCGCAAAAGTTTCAAAGGGTTTAGACTAAAGAAACCCATTTTAACAAAAGATATAAAAAATCCAAAACAAAATAGTATGATATGGCGATCACATTTTTTTGGCCGGTTTCCCATTCACATTGTCCGTCACGTTGAAATTGAGGTGTCCGGACGGACAACTTCATATATACCAATGTGTCTGTATCCATGTGAAAGTGTCCTTTTACACTCAAAGTATAGAACTGAACTAGATCTCACTTATTGTAGGCAAAGAGAGCGGCTTGCGATTATTTGGAATATAAGAAAACAGCCAAAATTACCAACGATTTTTCGCATCTGCAGTATGCTACTTACCGGATTCACCAATGCACTCGGGTTTCGCATAGCAGTTCGCAACGCTGCAGTAATCAAATCAATCGTAATAAAGTGATGTTTTTTTTGTGTTACAATGAACTTTTTTTTTCTACACTCAAGGTCAAAGAATTTTCCGTCCTATACATCAAAAAATGACAAAATTTATAATATGTACGTCGATGCATTTAAATTGGCATGTACATGACTGACCTAGTATACGGTACATAAAAACGGACATACATTCACACATTCAGCAAAATGTCATCACTTATACGCGTGTTCTCGGTGCTGGGTGGCCGAGTGGTCTAAACTGTGGTCCAGCCAGAGCCCATTCAAGCAATAACACCACCAGCCCCCTCGGTTAGATGAGACTCGTTAACCTTGGACGGCAACTCATCTAAGAGAAGGAAACTCTGAAATCGAACCCGGAGATGGAGTCCCGAAAGGCGGTTAACATTGGTACAGTGAAACATTCCGACAACTCCTGCGACGTCACTGGTGCCAAGCTGTATCATCCAATGATGTTCCCTTGGGTTACCCAGCGGCGTGGAGAAAGGCGATTTGCTGTTGGGAACCAGCTTATAGTCCTTGAAGAGTAATCCCAGGCCATGTGGATTTCGTCCTCCGAAGCCCACTCCATCGTCACATTGTGACGGAAGGATGCCAGAAAAATAAAATACGCGTGTTCAAAGTGTCAGTTTGTATTGACAGCGAAAACATAGGATATGGACATCAGCTCATATGTAAATAAAAGTAATTGAAAAAATGTCATTTCTCTTATGATTAGGGACCACGGTAACTAACACTTTGCATCAACCTATTTATCATAGCCTGATTTGATAGGGGAACTGTTTAAATAGGGTCAGGCATTTTTAGATGTTTGTGAAAATATCGGGCAGACAGTTTGAAATATGTAAAGGTGCAATAGCCGACAATCAAACACGTGGACAGTATGACGTATAAGAGGAACGTCAATTTTATTAATTAATACTATTTCACAGCTTTAAAAACAACATTTATTTATATTACAAGTATTGTCGGAATCAAAAGAAATAAAACAAATAAATCCACTATATTATTTGATTATCTTCCTCCCTAACGTAGGTAGGCAGTGTGGACAGAGTGGGCGGAGTGATCATAGTGTGTTGAGTTGGCATAGTGGGCAGAGTGGGTGGAGTGGGTGGAGTGGGCAGAGTGGGTGGAGTGGGCAGAGTAGGCATAGGTGAAAGAGGGGGCAGAAGGGGTAGAGCGGGCACAGTGGGCAAAGTTAGCAGAGTGGGAGGAGAGGGCGAAGTGTACAGACGGGGTGTAGAGGGCAGAGTAGGATGAGTGGACAGAGGGGGCAGAGTGTACAGGGTGGATGGAGGGGGCAGAGTAGGATGAGTGGACAGAGGGGGCAGAGTGGACAGAGGGGGCAGAGTGGACAGAGGGGGCAGAATGGGACTGGGAGATGTCGTGGGCAGAGTAGGCGGAGTGCTTCGAGTGGGTGGAGACTCAGTTGAATAATTGCATCAACAAAAAAGTGACTAAGTAAAAAAAAATGACAGTTGTTAAAGATGAATTTAGAAACTGAACGTGGCATTTCTTAGACCACGTCATAGTCATTCAAAGTTTCAATATTACTATTTACCTCCACATTATTATACCAATGATAATCAGAGTTACAACAATGATGCCAAATATAGCACCGACCACAGCACCAATGAGTGTTGAGTTATCATTTCCTGGACTGTCAGTTGCACTTCTACTTCCACTTTTTACTATAAATAATGATTAAGAATTGAAAGTTAAATGAAAAAAATAAGATTCATTTGTAAAAAAAAAGCACATGAATTTACATATTATTTATGTTGATTCTAGGCATTAGTAAGGAACAACTACAACTTAGGATAATTAATTTAAAAAAAAAAGGCATTCTGGACTATGAATTCTATAAATAAATTACAAAAAAATTGTTGGTGTGTTCACATAGGTGGCTCCCCTTTTAAAGACATTCGTTTATTATCATTATTTAAGTGGTTTTATATGGAGCAGTACTCCAGCCCAGGGCTAGACTTACTGCTACCCCAACCTAGGGCTAGACTCACTGCTACCCCAACCTAGGGCTAGACTCACTTCGCTTCACATAAAATTAGCAATTACAAAAAGTTATTTATTTAAAAACAATTTGTGAAAAGTTTGACCTCACCAACCCTTGTACAATCTACCCCTGTCTAGCACAGCAGCATCGTGCGTTGTTTATCAGTTATAGAGGGGTGGAAATGAGTCGGTAAAGTACAGTTTGAAGAGATGGTTCTTGAGGGCAGTTTTGAAGGCTGGAATGGTCGTTATATTGCGGATCTATAATAGGAGTGAATTCCACTGTTTTGGGGCACAGAAAGAGAAAGATCGTTATCCATATGTTTTAGTGTGTGTTCTGAGAACAGAAAGAATACACGTGTCTACGGAGGAACGAAGCTTTCGAAGGGGTAAATAGGCAGAAAGAAGCTCAGTAATATTGGAAGGGCAGGAACCAGAGAAAAAGTGAGGTAACTAGTGGAGTGACGTGATCACGTTTCTTTGCCTTTATAACTAATCTAGCAGCTGAGTTTTGAACTTTCTACAGTTTTCTAGGAAATGTTTCGTGAACCTGACAGAAGAGAGTTACATTGGTCAAGACGAGAGAGAACAAGAGCACTGACTAGTGGTTTTTGTTGCGCTAACTGAGGTAGTGGCGGATGGAGCTGATCCGACGGATAGCGGTGTACGCAAAGCGACGGATGTGAGAAATATGATTATTGAGAGAAATGTTATCAGAAAGAATGTAACTGTAACCAAGAGTCCCAGCAGAGGATTTAAACTCTATATCGGAGCCACTACCTAAAATGAGATTGTGAGAGCAGAGTTAGAGGATGATTCATGATTCAAATATTCTAAAGCTAAATTTTATTTCAAAAGCATTATATGGAAATGAAAACGTACTGTTGTTATTACAGCGGTCTCCATCAAATCCTTCCCGACACCCATACAGACAATAACCAACGGTGTTGTTACAGGTTCTCGTTGTAAGCAGAGTGCTGTTACAGTTCTTGTTACATGTTAATTCACAATTTTCTCCATAGGTGTTGCCGGTGCATTCTACAGCATAAGAAATATAATACATTCAATATAAAAAAAGGCTTCCTGCTAAATGATTTTAGCGCTACTGTTAAATGTTTTTTATGGAAGACAAGATATCTAGCAAAGATGGAGTCTTGCAGTGGCATATACCATTGCACTCCTGGTGTAGATTCATGCAACCAGGGTGATCCCTTCAACGAAATATGCTTCAACAATTTCAATTTAAATGTGTATGATTGATGGAATAATTAATTCCTGTAATTAAATTTTTCTACTGCGTTAGATTGTTATACAGCGCTATCCGTTAACTGTTTCTGTCAAGCTATATATAAAACGATTTATTCTGTAAGCTTCTTTAAATTCTAAAATTTTTATAAATATTATTTTAGCTGGTTTACTAATTTTGCCTGCTTTAAACAAAAAAAGGAACAAAAAATCTAAGAAAATAAATACGACCTGAACAACAAATAAATTTAAAGTATTAAAATATGAATGATTTCTAAGAAACTAACACGGAACAAAGTCTTCTACCTTCTTCACAACGGAATCCTTGAAATCCATCTTTGCAGCTTGTACAGTTACCAGATAGGAAGTCACAGCCTATTTCATGACAATTGTTGGGGCATGTTGTGTTACAATTAATATTGTAGAAGCCAGGAGAACACTTTTTACAGTGACCAGAGTATCTATCGCAAACTGAATTTTCACATTTGGAGGGACAAGACGTATTACAATAGGTACCGTAAAAGCCTGGTTTACAGTCAAAACATGTCCCATTTGTTACATTACAATTGCTATCCACACAGTTTTTAGAACAATTCATGGCGCAGTCATCTCCATAAAATCCTTGATTACAATCTGAAAAATAATCACAATTGTATTTTTGATTTGAAGAAGAGTGAATAATTAAACTTCTGTTTCAATTTGATAGTTGTACTGTATTTGTATACATCTGTAAAGGGATTATATTATGCAGACTCAATGTAAACTTACATTTGTAATTATTAGAATTAAAGTGCTTCTAAAATTTCAAATTCAATTGTTTCGTAAAGATTAGATATGACAGTCACTATGACACCTCCCCGGTAGAAGCAGACAGAAGAAGATGATGCAGGTAAATCATGAGACAGCGTATATTTTAAGGAATTATTGAAGGAGTCTTAAGAACTACCTGTAAAGATAAAAAAAAAATATGCCAAAAGTGTATCAGGAGACAAGGGTATCATATTGCATTATCCGAAAATTTACTTTGCCCCTAGACTCCATTAGATTGTTATGCTAGAATATGGTGTGCAATGGTTGCGCGTCAATTGTGTGCTTTGGTGTATGTTTCGAAAGTAAGGTGCGTCTTAATAGAGCGTTGTTGTCAAGGTACGCGTTCATTATTTTATGTGTGTCAGTGTGTGCCGATAAATTACTAGTCAGTTGAGATATTACATTAGTTTAGGCCGTTGAGTGATTAGATTGGATTAATGCTGAGCAGTTGAGGTATTATACAAGAATTATTAGAACCAGATTGTGGGTTAGTATTGTGGAGAGTTCGGACCACGACGGCGCCTGACCAGGGATTACGGCCGTCTGACCACCCAGACACGACCGAAGGATCAAGCGCTGGGGCGCCTGACCAAAGATTACGGCCGTCTGACCACCCAGACACGACCGAAGGATCAAGCGCTGGGGGCGGTACCGGCCATCCATCTGACCAGGGCATTTACCTGGGACGTCTGGTCTGTTTGTAACCTGGCGCCGATGGGGAAAAAGGGGCGGGGTATAATGCGCCAGTCCAGACCTGGGAGAGGAACTATGGGACAGGGAGGTATAAATAGGGATCTCTGGACGGGACGAAAGGAGAAGGCGGCCGGACTGAGAATTAGATAGCAGGGAGAAGTCAGAGTTGTGAGATGAGAGAAAGAGTAAGCAAGGTGACAGCCCAATAAAGAACACGAGTTTAATCATTAAATGTTATCACCAGGAGTTGTTTCCTTATTGAGTACCAGATCTAGATGAAGTTTATCATAGAGTAAGCAAGGTTTTCCTTACAGTATTAGTAATTGAAACTGGTTCTCTACAATAACTATATAACTTGCTTATGGAAGATAGTAACATCCACAATACCCCAGAACTGTAATTCTCAATGTGGGCGATGGGATGGCTCGGAAGGGGGGGGGGCGCTGAAAGATTTTGGAGACTTGTGGGGGTCTGGATTTCTCAAAAAAGGGTGCTGAAAACTTTTTTTATGGAATACATTTTTAATTAAAATTAGATAGGTTATAAAAATGAGACACTTTTTAGAAGTCGATGTTTAATTGACAAATCATTTCTTAAAAATCACATCCAACAGAGAGAGTGAACAGTTGTTTTATCCCATAATCAAACGGAAGTACAACCACAAGCGGTCATTAACAACAATTAAAATTTCAACACTTAGCAATTTTGATTTTTAAATAGTCTCTGCAAACTAGATGTATATTTTCAAGCATCCGTTTTAATGCTTCGTATCAAAACATTTGTAGAATCAGTGGCGACGCTACACCAGGTCCCGCCGGGTCCCAGGACCTGGTAAAAAAACTTGGGACCTGGCAAATGACCTGGTAAATTTTTATTAGTTACTAATATTGTATATATTCTACGAAAGTAAACGACTACTGCAAATTGGATGCACGATACCGGTGTCATCTGCAGAAGCAGAAAGATCATTCAGTCAAATAGCTTTCATAAAAACACATCTTCGCACAACCATGACTGACGAGCGCTTGTCAAATATTGCTGTAATATCGATACATGCACAGATGGCCAAGAAACTGGATTTGGAACGTATGGTGGAAAAATTCGTGGAGATATATCCTAAATGCAGAATTATTTTGAAATGAAATTGGCCTGTCCTGTGTCAGTGAATCTGGAGTCAATGGGTCAATAGTGTGGAGTGTCACGAGTGTGGATTCTCTAGATAAACGTGATTGACCTTACAAATATGATACATTCAAATAAATTTATTATGACAATTGACAATGTATGTAAACTTTGGGTTAAGTTAGTAGATTAATAAATATTACTTAATAAATAAATTTTATTTTTAATACATTTATTTGGGACCCGCCAAATTTTTTTAAGATCTGCAAAGAACCCGCCATGTTAAATTTGATGGCGTCGCCACTGCGTAGAATGTGTGTATTATATTATGATATAACCTGTCATTTTGTAAATTTAGCAAATAATCGGGGAAGAACTCATCTTACCAACAATTAATGAGGTTCTGATTTCATTGACACAAAAAAAGAATAAGGACGATGTTTGTGAAGCAGACAAGGTGTTGACAGAATTTGGATAATAATTGGACATGCTAAACCAAACAGATAATAAAGCTTTGTTTCAAGGAAGTTTGAATTAAAAATTGCTTTTTGCAAGATAGCTAGAAAGTGATTCGAGATGGTGCAGACACTATTTTTTTTTATTGTTGAGCAGAAATTGAGTTATTCAACAACAAGGAAATGCCACCTTGTAATATACTATTGCAACAGATAAATCCCCAGCATTGACAGGTTACAACAATGGTGCGTTGCTTTTTACTGAGAATTAAAGTTCTATACGTCATACCAATCATTCTATAATGTAACTCTTCCCCCAACACCTTTTCTGAGAATGAGTTATTTCCATTTATTTTATAATTATTGTCATTTGCTCAGCTCAGGCAACCTGCGTCTTTCATCGCAAACATAATTTGGTTAATAAACAAAACTCAGAGATTATCCAATTAAAAATCGTCATTATTGCTTTGAATAAATTCAAACATAAGTTCTCAATTATTGACTAAGTTTGAGTACGAAGATTATTTTATCCTTGTCTGCATCATACTGAAATTTGTGTCCATTAATATGCAAAAAAATAATGAACTTTTACAAGCTTCTTGACAGTATTGTGGACATTTTTGAAGACAAAAAGTATCTCTTGGTGCTAAACTCAAAGAAATCACAAATAAAATAGCCGATTTATTAGAAATATTTTCTTAATATAATAAAAATGAAAGTTGTATAAAAAAGAAACTTTATTTTTTCGCTAAATTAGCTGTCTCGAGTTGTACAGATTTTCAAGCCCACTAGAACTAGAAGTGGGATCGAATTGTTCCGGAAAATCTGTTTCAGAAACTTAAATGCCGACTGTGATTAAAGAGAACCTACACACGAAATTAAAGAAAACGATTTAAGGGGTCAGTTTTTACAAGGGGGAAAACTAGATTAGATCATTGCGAAAATCACTCCTTAAGCTGGATTTTTTCAAGGTTAAATTTTTTATTGGTCGTAGCTGAAAGTTGTGAATGAGTATCGAGATTCATTTTACTACGTGAGCTGTTTTAATATTTTAGAATTAATTTGCAAGTCATTATTTACCCTCCACACATAAAGGTGGCCGCTTGCCCGGTGCTGCACAGTGAATGCAATGACCATTAACTGAATCACAAAGTTGATCTTTACAGCTGTCGTTGCATCTGTCCAAACAGTCAACTCCATAGAACGTTGGCTTACAAGCTGTGGAGTATACAATAGTTTTTCGGTTGAAAAAAAATTATAACCAAGGCTACACATTTAATCATATAGAATAAAAAAAATTGGCCAAAACATATTGCATCTTACTAATGTTGCATCCTTCGCCATAAAATCCAGCCTTGCATCCAGATGGACAGTTTCCTGTACTAACAAAACACTTTTCTCCTGGTTTTGCACATTCACAGAGATGGTCGCAATCACGGCCATATTTATAAAGGTCTGTTTGTTGGTCTTTCGAGCAATGAGAATCTGTAAATAATTTTTTTTTAAAAAGGAGAGTATGCTTTTAAAGACCATTTTATAAAAAAATTTCGATAGTAAAATAGGGGCATACCTAGATTTAGGTCGGTATCCGGATCGTAGTAATTGGATGTAGTGTGTCATAAGTGGTAAAATGTCGGTACTTGTGACGTTAATGTGAAATAGTTTTAGATAGAGGTGTTCCTAAGATCGTGTAGGGTTGAAAAAACGAGTTTTGGGCTTTAGAAATTTTCTCATTCCGGAGATCCATGTTTGTGTTTTTCCTTATATGAGATTAAAAAAAAAAGTATGATTTTGCGCTATGTCATGAACGTTCGATAAAATGTTTTATTGGTGCAAACAAATGAACGTGTTTCCTGCGAGCAGAGTGCAAGACTAGCTTTGCTCATGACATGAGAACATTGTGTTGAGTGTTAGGTTACATGACGTCTGAATGTTGTGAAAAGTATCATTATTGAATAATCTTTATAAAACCAAAGTGGGTAAACTTTTTTTTCAAAGTAGCCAGAGTTGTGGCGAATGAAAAGTAAAATTCACCACTATATAAATAATAAATCAGAACACACTACTAATAAATAAAATAAAATAAAGAATAAGCTGTTATAATTTTTTTCAACCTCCGAAGGCGGCGCCTTTGCTATTTTGACATTATGTTTGAGTTGTTTTAGATTTCTTACTTAGACTGACAAATAGTTTACTAACTTAAAATGTTCAGAAGCTAAATAGCCCATTAACTCATTTTGCATGTCAAATATGTAAAAAAAAAATCAATTTCACAAGGGGGCCTTACAAAATATATTTGGACTGCTGTAGAGAGGAATTACATCAAGACCTCGGGAAAGAAAATCTGCGCTTAGGGAAATGACTGAAAAGTGTATCCTTCGATTTATAAATAAATGATAAACGATAAAAACTCACACGTTTATACACTCATACATAAATAAGAGTCAGAATTCCATTGTTTGGAATTGTTTGTATTACAGAAATTATCAATTTGTTTTTACTGTTTCTGTTGACATTAAGAAAGGCAAAATGTCACTCAAGACAATATAAAATTGTCAAGCTGTCCTTCTCCATTGTTAATTTAAAAAAGTGCTGCGCAACCCTTTTCATCTCACGGGACACCTGTGCCCTCACACAATATAGCGGCACACCTGTGCCCTCACACAATATAGCGGCACACCTGGGCCCTCCACTCGATATGGCGCACACTTGGACCCTCCATACAATATGGCGGGCCACCTAGGCCCTCCACAGATTTTCGAGGCTCACCAATCGTAAAATCTTTCACAATTTTTGAAGCTGTTGGGCAACTTTTGTTGAACATGGATTTTCAAAATATTAAATTCGATATCTGATGAAACAACTTGAAGCTCACTATTTTTCGTCCATGCGAGACGTCTTATAATTTTATATAAAAACAAGAGTAATACAATCGTTTTGGAAAATTTTAGATGACGTGCAGGGGTATTAATGGGTATCAAAGACTATACTTCTATAAATTAAATTAAAAGGACATTGATTTAACTTATGTTAAATTAAATTCCCACGTATCATCACTACTTAATTCCCAAAATTGCTGTTAAACATGAAGGGCAAGTTGATAATTAATTTAGAATTGTGCGGATTTAATAAACAAATAGCTTGAAAACCATTCTTTTGCACAAGACCCAATACTCAAGAGGACTAATGCAAGATATTATCATTTTAAGCCTTTTTATCAATGAAAAGGCAGTTTAACAGCTTATCTTTCACGGCATTGGCACCACTTTTACCATACTGTCTTTAAACTAGAGGTGGAAATAATATATATAATACTGGTTTATGTGGACAATGGGAAGTATGTATTCGACTTCTATTCAAGTGTATTTAAATTGTTCCAGTTTCACTGATTTTAATTTTGAATGGTCTACAGTTTCAATTTACAACACATTTATTTTATTTTTAAAATTTTATTGAAATGACGATTACGTTTTTTCAAAATTACATTTTCGCGTTATTGTTGTACATATTTTTCTGCGGGGGAAGCGGGCGTAGAAATGCACCAAAAGTGCACCCACTCACTCGAGTGGTGCTAAGCCTTAAAAACCCACTGAATTTAATAGAAATTTTTTCTAGGCCTTTTACCATGCATTTAACGAATAAGTGAGAGTCATCTTGATAATCACTTAAACGAGCAGCGCTATTGTTAGAATGTTACCATCGGCTTCCTGGAATATTAGGTCCTTTAAGTCCTTTTTCTCAATCAAAGGACGTTTATAGATTATATTGCTCATCTCTAGGAACAGACAACTCTTATTCTGACTTTTTTCGACTTTTTGGGTTCACCTTTAAGAAACGTCGTTAGATTCTTTGCATTGGGACCATTCCGAAAATTTTCAGAAAACTCGAAATAATTTTTGTGCTCAAAAACTTGCAAATATATAACGAATTTAGGCTTAAAAATATTTTAAACTGTAACCCAAAAATTATTTCCAAAAATATACTTACCCCCAAAGATCTCTACCTCACAAAGATTTAGAACTGTCTTACTTCTATTAGGTCGGGTTACTGATATTTCGACGCTTGAAATGACCCATTCGCTATCAGGTTGAATTGTATAAAAATCAGCCTTAGTTGGAGGTTGATTGCTAAAATTATAAACTTTTGCTTTAGAGTTGTCAAAGACCTCCATGGTGAATCCAGATAATCGATCTTGGCAGCAATTTGAGTCATCTATAAATTCAAAATTTATCATGTTTTGTTGTATATTACGTTTTTATAAATACGCATTTATTTAAAAAGAGGATAATAAAATTTATTATGATTCTTCAAACCATTTAAATTTTTTAAATTAAATGACTGTTTTTTTTAAACTTTAAGTTCATTAAAAATAAACACGTAATAATCATACAATTGAGATGATGCAAGACTGTCGTACCCTTATCACTCAAATTATTATAGGCTACATTTTTATGTTTAAAAAATATCAGAAAATACCACTCCCTAGATTGATCTTAATGTAATTATATGTTTTCTAGGGAATTGAGAAATGCATTAAACTTTGGCTAATTTATCTTAAAAAATAATTCTTTAACTTCGAGATCATTCGAGAACCCAGTATTTTTTTCATTATGAAGATAGTGACAATTTGATAAAAATGGCTTTAGAAATCATTTATTTCTCCGGGAATGGAATGTATATTGAACAAGCAATTAAGTCGCCGCTCAGTCGATTTCTGTAAAATAATAGAAAATAACTATGATTGTTTTTTTGGGAATCCGAACGTACTTAAATCTTTTCTGCTCTTTGGAGTTACGTCAGTCTAGCTCATTCTTATATATATATATATATATATATATATATATATATATATATTTANTATATATATATATATATATTATATATATACTATAAACTTTATTCATTCATATAAACTACTGCACGAAATTTTAGCAAAAAATGATAGAACTAAGATGTACATTTTCAGTAAAAAATTCCTTAAGGTTGGAACAAATGAGATTAAATAAATTTTAATATAGTTGAGAATAAATATTGGTGGAGCCTTGACACATATCCAGGAGAAAATTTGCTTTTTAAAAGCTGTTTTAAGGATTGGATAAATAGGAGTGCTACCGAATGTATAAATTAAATTGTTATTGTTTTATAATTTTAATAATAAATGTTATTGAAACCTAAATAATAATATGTTCACAGCTAAACAGAACCAATTATAATACATTTTTAAAAGTTTATAACAGTTTACCAATTCTGTTGTAGAGTTTGTATCGATAAACAGCATACTTATTCAATGGAAATTCAATAGTCCATTTAGGGGTTGTCTCGCTGCCATTTGTTTCTATGCAAGAAAAGTCCAACCATTTCTCGCCTTTGTTACCGTCAACAGCTGTTGTGGAATTAAATACATCGACCACAGATGTCTGAAAGGTTTTTTGCTTCAAAGCAATGTTTCTACCTGTCAATGCAATCATGAAAAATAATTTGAATGGATTCCTATATTAAAGGAAATATTATTTATTTAAAATTAAAAAAAAAATTCTTTCTATTTCAATAATTTGTATAAAAAAACCCCTTGAATAAGTTGTTGCTAATATTTAATAGTGATTTTACAATCCCATATCTAACTTAAACATGTTAAAAATATCTTTAACGTCCTAAGTCACTTTAATTGAAAACAATTGTACGAAACATTCGAAAGGAGAGTGTTGGTGAGAAATGGGAGAAACTGTCAATTAAAAATATATTACTGTGTTTTTTAAAATTTTCCATAAAGAATTAAAAGAAAATCAAATTTACCAGAGTTAAAAAATAACTAATAAAATATAATGCAATTTAATTTTCAGATCTTGTCAATCAGCAAAATATAAGAATAACCCACACCTTGGCAACGTTTTTGCGTTTTTAAAACGCGAAGCCTTTTTATAATTATGAAATTATATATTTCATATTTAAAACAGTGACTATAAAACATATACTTTTTGCAAAAAAGTACTTTTTGATTTTACGATCAGTTATAAACCTATAGGGTTACAAAAAAGTTAAGTTATTATTATTTTTAAATTTTTTTTTGTTGCAAAATGTAGGCGTGTGTGTGAAGGTTTTGAAACACAGTTTATTTTCTGGGATTTTCTGGGATGATTATCTTAATTCTGGATTAACCATACATTCAGTATTTGTCACTAGTAATTCTGTTAAAACTTTTGGTAAGGCTGGATAATAAATAAAAGATTTATAAAGTTTAAAAAAAAAATAAATGAGACACTTGAATTAACGAAGAAAAAGACAAAAAACAAAAAAACAAAAACAAAAAACAAACAAACAAAGGAAAAATCATTTAAAAAAAAAATATATTTATGTTCTGCCTGAACTTAAAACGTTATGTTAACATTAGCTAGACTTCGTGTAATCCTTTTAAAAATCCTTTCATTTCTTTTTCTGTCCATCTGATTGGTGTTTTTACAATCTTTTATCCCATTTTTGCTGAAAATGTAGCTTGTTTTGGAGAATTTAAGCAATATAAAAATCTACTAAAGGTCTATATATTTTACATCTTAAGCATGTCAGAATGAGTTGTTTGCGTTATCACATCTATTTGGAAATTCAAGCGTTGTTCTCGTAGAAAACTTTTCAATCTACTTGACGGGGGTGTCAAACTCAATCGTTCATTTGGCCAAAACTTAAATCACACGTAAGGTTGGGGGCCCAACAGGATAAACATTCAATAAGCGGAAAATTAAACCTTTTTAAACATTAATATAAATAAAACAAAAACAAGTTTAATAATAAAAAATCATTGGCATACCCATTTTCGCTCTTATGCTAATTTGTCAGAGCTGGATGTTAGGCATCTTTTCTTAGCTAAAAGTTCGTATATGTTGGGAGTAATGGTCTGTATCATTGAGGTTCTCATGATAGACTGCAAGTATTCACCAGTTTCAATTGAATGGCCTTCACTGCATCATGCATATCAGTGATCAAATGGTCCCGCCCCTGGAGCTGCAGGGTCAAGTCGTTGAAATGAGTGCTTATGTCAGATAGAAACGCTAACTAAAATTTTAACTTTTTATCACTGTGGAGTCTTTTCCTTTGCTGTCCATGAATTGAAAGATTTCCTCGATCATCTGGAGAAATCTACCAATAAATTTTCCCGACTAAGCCACCGCACCCCTGTATGATAAGGAATGTCGCCGAACTCTGATTCTATTTTGTGATTGGAGGTGGTTTTACCCTTTGGCTCTGATAAAGTTGACAATTTGTGTTACAGTGCTTCTTCTTCTTCTTCTTCTATATCTTAAGGGCCCACGATCAATTTATTGATCATTTTGGCTCCTATGCATGTAGATGGGATTTGCAATGTTTCTGTTCCTGGTGTTGAGGAAATTTCACTGATTTTCTGTGAGGGAATCATGCACTAGGGGTTTGAAGGCTTGAGGCAATAAACACAAATGTGTCTAGTGTTGTCACCTCAACCGTTCCATTTGAAAGCTTGTTCCAGTCCCTGATTGTCTTGGGCAGGAATGAGGAGCTCCTATACTGGCTTCTTGCTGGTATGAGCCTGAATTGCCTAAATTCTCTATCGGGCCGGGTATAATTGTACGCTGGGCCTGATGATGTGGCCGCCTTGAGTTCGACACGTATGCACTAGACCTAATGACAGATTGTAAGTTGTTACTTTTCATCTCTCTAGTTCACACCGTCTCAGTCAGTCATATAGTTACAATATGTATTTATTCAACAGCTTATTAGGGGTCGTCAATTAATTATGTCAAGAAAATAGGGAGGTGGAAGGAAATGTTTGACAAAGACCAATCCTGAAATGACAATCTCGTCTGCATTTCTCGCAGGAGAATATTGATTCCTGGTTAGATTTGGCCTTTCGTGTTGTTATTTTTGTTGCAAGGGCCTCGTTTCGCGCAAATTCTGCCCTTTTGACTCCTTCATGCACTGCTGTTCGCCAGCTGGAACGTTTTTTGGCAATGATCTCCCATTTGTTGATTTCAATGTTGGCTTCCCTTATGCTCCTTTTGCAAACGTCCTTAAATCTCAATAGTGGCCTTCCAATAAGTCTTGTCCCTTCTGCCAACGCTCCATACAGCAGCATCTTTGGAATACGGCCTTCCTCCATTCTCTTTACATAACCTAACCAGTGATGGCGCCTTTTGCTAAAAGCGGAGAATATGCTACCTATTTTGGCACGTTCCAAGACCTCTGTGTTAGGCACCCTGTACTGCCATCGAATGTGTAAAATGCGACGCAGGCATCTTTTATGGAAGCTGTTGAGTATGCTATACTGAGGGAAAATCAGAGTTCTAGCGAGTATACATAAATAACTTAGTTCAATGTCTAAGAGACAAAGGCTGTACAAAAATTGTAGTTGACACAAAGTATGTAAATACATCTGATTACCTCAAAGAAACAAAAAGGGTAACATTAGCTTACAACATTGAAATTGAATGCAAAAAGGCTAATGTTAACATTGATTGTCCCTGGTTGACAGCAACAGTAATGGATAACCCAATTTGTCCTTTGATCATTGGAAATTATCCAGGAATACCAAGTAACTCTCAAGCATTATTTTTACAATGAATATAGCAAAAAGGACTTAACATTGAAACTATCAACGCTGTCACAACTAAACAACAGAAAAGGAAGAACACAAAAATTATAACAGAAGAAATATTAGATTAATCTAAACCACTTACACTAGAAAATTTTTTTAAAATTCAAGAGGATGATGGACAGATTCAAAAGATCAAAGGAAGGTTGAAAACAAAAGTTTCTGTTGAAAATATATTATGTTGCTAATCCACTTCACAAGGAAGATAATGAAACAAGCAATGGCAACCATCAAGGTTAGTTCAACGTTTTAATTTTAAGAGAACAACATGGAGTTCATACACAACATGGAGCACTCGACAAGTCAGCATAACAACATGACGTCAATACAAAATAAACATTTGGTGTGCAAAACAATGCGCAACATTCAGCATTTTGTCAATTTCCAACACTCCTTCTCAAAATACTAAATAAAGCTAATTCATTGGTTTCACACCAATCATGTCTCTAAGAATCTTGAATCTTTGCTGATACAGTCCCTTAGTAAGAATATCAGCTTTCATTTGTGCAAGCAACCAAGTTTTAGACTATGTCTCTCAATTTGTCTCTCAGCGTTTACTTTGATCATAAACACGCATTTGCTTCCTACAGCTTTTCTTCCTTCTGGCAGTTCTACTAAGTCCCAGACTTCGTTTTCTTGAACTCGCCATGGCCTGTCTCACTGTACTGGGTTCTTCCAGATCCCGAGTCAAGTTTAACAACTCACCATATCGTTTTGGTGGGCGTTTAACTCTCGCTGATCGTCTGACATCTAGCTCCTCATCTGGTTAATCAACACCTTCATCATCAGGATCATCAACACGATTCACTTCTTCATCGACGTCATTATCAATGAATTCCCGAAACACAGGTGTTGATTTCTGAGACATTTCAGCCTCCTTCTCAAGACCGAACTTGTTTTCATTAAACAGAACGTCTCTGCTGTAAATCACCCGATTAGTTTTCAAATTGTATAGGCGATAACCCTTGACATCGATTCCGTACCTCAGAAAAACGCATTTCTGTGTTTTTGAATCGAACTTCTGTCTTTCATCTTTAGGAATGTGTGCATACGCAACACATCCAAATACTTTCAGGTGATCGACACTGGGTTTCGTACCAGTAAACACATCAAATGGCGTAGTACCTTGAAGAACGTTAACAGGACTTCGATTCTGCAGATATACAGCTGTTGACACTGCTTCTGCCCAGTATTTTCGTGGGAGCTGTGCCTCAGTCAGCATGGAACTTGCTGCTTCCACAATAGTCCCGTTCTTCCTCTCCGCTACTCCATTCTGTTCTGGTGTTTTCGGAACAGTCATTTCATTACGGATCCCCTCTTTCTTTAAATAACCTTCAAATTCATTTGAAGTAAACTCTCCACCGTTATCGGTGCGTAGGGCCTTAAGATTTTTTCCAGTTGACCTCTCAACCATTGCTTTCCATTCAAGGAAACACTTAAAGACCTCACCCTTGTGCTTAAGGATATAAACCCAAGTATATCGACTGCAATCGTCAATAAAAGTAAGAAAATAGTGAGCTCCACCAAGTGATTGTGTGCTGACCTTCCCGCAGACATCACTGTGAACAAGGTCAAGTATCTCATTTCTTACCCTTCCACTTGACGGAAACTTGGTCCTGTGATGTTTACCCTTTGCACATGATTCACACAGTTCCCTATTTGACCGCTCATCATACTCAAGACAATCCACTAGATTTCCTACAACTTCTTGAGATTTTCAAAACCTAGGTGTCCGTAGCGTCTATGCCACAGTTCCTCACTTGTTTCTTTACCTCCGTTTGCTGTATTACATTGATGTTCATTAGCATAATGACACAAATGCCAGAAGTTTACATTTAT